CCAGCTATCGTTCAATATCCCTTATTTATGTAGACCTTAAAATAATCTGCAAAGCTGCAGAAGATCTGCAAAGATCAGAGAAAATAACCCCCCTCATAACTCATCCTGACCAAACTGGCTTCACTAAAGGTAGCACTCATCAACAAATACACGTAGATGACCTAATTTGATAGACTGTTCATACAGTAAAAACACTGAAACCACAGTATTGTTTCTAGATGCAGAAAAAGTGTTTGACAGAGTTAACTGGAAACTTTTATTGATTTTATTAATTTGGTTTTGGAAACTCTTTCATGAACTGGTTACAAATATGATATAATTCCCCAACAGCGTGTTTCAGAACAAACGACCAAACAGCGCTTTCTACTCTGGGAGAGTAGAAAATGTAAGAATCAGTCCATTTACCAACAACAGATATTTCTCTGGTACTTCCTTCAAAGAAATTGAACACGACACTTCCTTATTCTGGGTATAACTATGGCATCACTTTCAAATTGGTCTATACTTTATTTAATAATGCATTTTGAGGTCAAACTGAAAGAAAGCCAAATGTAAATGTGAGATCAGAGGTCAAATGTGACATATCTGGATGTAAACTGCAATGTTATATTTATAGTATCATTTCCTAAATGTTGCTAATACAAATATACAAACAAGCATAGTTTTAAAAATAAAAGACAGTTTATGAAGGTCCAGTGTCCAAAGTAAACTGGTATTTAGAATCCACACGTATCATTTCCAATATAGATAGACAGATCTAATTTTATTTCGAACATGCAAATATAATTGAAATAACAAGAGAAAATCTGTCAATTGACATCTGTCAATATAAACAATGACAGTAAGAAACAAGCACTTTGACATTTAGATCAATCTACTGACCTGTAAGGAGAGGTCAAAGTTCAAATGTGACATGATATTTTATATCTTTATGGTGCTTTCTATGCTGACAATACATGCTGCACATGTAAGTCGACCTTGAACGTTATGGTGGATGTAAGCTAAATGTTTATGTACTTGAACACATGAACACAATCCCACTCTGCACCCTCACACAATTTTAACAGAATTCACTGAAACACTTTCAGTTTATCAGGCTCAAAGACACACAGAATGACACTCACGCAAAAACACCACCTCCTGGATGGAGGTAATTACAGTGCTCCCTCGCTATAACACGGTTCACCTTTTGCTGCCTTTTTTTGTGCATTTTTTTCTTTTTTTTTTACAGCGCATTGTGTTCTGCCTCCTGATTGGCTAATCCTGTGCTGTGTCTGCTGTACAGGACAGGATGTGTTCAGCTTGTCAAATTTACATAAATCTTCGATCACTAGCAGTGTGACTCTGAAGTGCTGCACTGTATGTTTGTAAGTTTTCTCCCCAACAAACAACGATGTCGACGAAACGTTTTGCTCCATCAAAGGCTCCTGCAGTAGCACCCAATGAAGATGCCAACCATCGCACAAACAGCTGGACTTCTGGTAGGAGTTACCATATTTTACGGATTATAAGGCACATTAGGCGAAACAAAACAGTCAGATAAGTCTAACTTTACTCATTCTTCTTGCTTCCTCTACTTCCGTACCATTGATGATTCATTAATGTTGAATTCTCTGCAGCTGCTCTATTCCCGTGTTCTGGACCTGAAAACATGGTTTTATCTTTGGTTTCATTCTGTAATACTGGACCTATTTTTCTACGAAGGTTTGAACTTTGAGAGTTTAAACAAAAGAGAAAAGTGTGAAAATGTTCGTGCCTGTCTGAGAAAAGTGTATAAAGTGTGTAGTGAGAGGTTTTCCAGCCTTAAAACATCTATAAAAATTGTAAAAACGAAAGTTGGCTTCTTCTCAAATTTCACCTGTCGCGGCTTATTTTTAGAACGTAACTCCCGCGACAAACGAGGGACCGCTGTAATGTTCGTGGTGCTTGCTATTCATTAAGTATAGTAGACAGTAGATGGTAAAGATCATGGTTTTAACACAAGGTTCATTTAGCTTTCTAAAGCAGAAAAGAAAAGAAATAGCTTATTTGTCCCATATTCAGGGTATTATTTTGTTTCAGCATTTTAATATTAATTTGACCACAACAAACATATAAAAAAGACTAAAGGAATTTTGCGCTGCTGTGGTCATCAACCTCGCTGTCAAGCTCAGCAGACTGAGACAACTGGTGGCATCGTTCTTTGGGTGACGGGGAGGTGTGTTTGCTTTATGTGCAGTTGGCAAGCTCATCTGTACTTCTGTGTTTTTAAAGAATAAATACCTCATGGCACAACCACATCCAGCAGCATATCTACAAATCTGAGAGGAAACTCTCCTGCTAACAAACCTGCTAAAATATGCCATTAATACTAACCAAAAAGTACAGTAACATTTGATCAGAGTCGTTCAGCTGCTCAGAGGAACGACTCCAGAGAGGCAGGGATGATGAAGGGGTTGAATCTAGACACGAGTCCACTCTGCACTGAGGGGGTTTAGCCAGAGTGACTATGCCACAGGCCAGATTATCATCTTACAAAGCACCTAATGCTTTGTAAGATGATTAAATCTATTTCAGGAGGGATTTATTCCATAGCAGAACTCAGTGATTGCAATGTCTTGATGGATGCTCTATCATCCAGGTAAGGAAATCCCCGAAGGTTGATTCTGTTCATCTGGACGTTTCAGCTGACGGCAGGTTTCCCCAATCTTACAGCACATTTGCATAATCAATACAACTAGCACCACTGGCAAACAATGGGCTGTGAGGTCAGTTTTTTGATCATTAATATGCAAATTATTATGACCATTGATGAGCAACCATTGATCAATGACCACTGATCTATGCTTGCAATGTCTACATCTTTCTCACCATTAAAGGAATTTATAAGATGTGTTTGGCTATATCTTTAGATGTTAGCAGTAACGAATGTGTAACAATTGCACACACACTAATAAAACCTTGTAATGATGCTGTCAGTTTGAAGCAGTCAGTTGTGGTTTTGGAAAATATTGGACGATCTTGCAGCACCGCTACTCTGTCCACCATTCATACACAAGTTTCTCCCTGACTGGATTTGCCAATCAAAGCTGTGATCATGACGTTGCACCGTATTTCAACAGCATCACAGCAAGTTAGTAATTAAAGTCAAACTTATGAGAAAGGTGACCCTTTGAAAACAAATCAGTGTGATAAGAACTATTAATAAAAATGTATCTGAGGAGAACTTTTTTGTTTTAGCTTGACCCCAGCAACAATCTGGAAACTGTGACGGTCATTCATATTGCAAACCAGCCCACGCTACTCTTCTTGCATTCACTCTTCACAAGGTCACCAACACAGTGATCTATGTATTTACAAAAACTTTTGTTTTGAAAATCACCACAGTATGAACTTAAAGCAAATGCTGTCTGCTTGATACACTGTGGCTGTGCGACTTACCAAGAAGAGCTTCAAACAGGTTGCTTTTGAAAATCCCCATCACTCTTTGAATGGCAGTTTTGAGCTGCTGCTCCTCCGGTTTCCTCAGGTTAGTGCAGTATTCCTCCAAAAGTGCAAGGGCTCGAGCTGTGTCTGCAGAGCACAGAGGAAAAAAGGCTCTGGGGTTTCCTTGGTTTATTTTTCTCATGGATAATTTATGTAAAATATATACATTGATCTGGTAATATTTAATATCCTGTGCTAAAAGGTTGATTCTCTTCATCGAGACAAAGCATTTTCAGTGGGAGAAACGTTTTGTCACTCATCCAAGTGACTTCTTCAGTCTCAGCTGACTGCAGGTTTCCCCACTACCTTTGCATACTGACTGAAACTAGCCGACTGAAGAGAGGATGCCACACCGAGGATGGGGACAAGTGGGTGAAAAATTTGTCATCTAAGCAGAGAAAAACATCCTTGCACAAGCGTTGAACTTTGCTGTGACGCCTAGACAAATCCTGCCTCAGAAAAAAGCGATTTGAAACAACAACATTGCAGATGTTGAAAGTTTCGGCCTGTCTCAACAATGCAAGGCCACCAGCATCCAACATCAGCATGGAGGAGAGGAAGGTACTCACATCACTTATTAATGACAGCAACATTATCATCCTTCAGGCAGACATGGGTAGGGTTGCTAAACCAGAAAGACTATCGTGACCCGTCATTAGGCAGCTTGAATTTAGTTGGGAAGTGAGAGATGTCAGTATGGACGCAGATGATGGGCTCGTACTATGTTACATCTCTCTTCAATTGTGTTCCAGTCACTGAAGCAGTGGAAGTAGTTGATAAGAGATGACAGGATGACCCCAACCTCAGCAACAGGACCACTCTCAGCACCAACCACATGTGTTTGCTCTGTGTCTTCATTCCACACATTTCATATACAAGGGTCAGTACTATTACACATTAACTCAGTGGACCGACACATCAGATTCACCAGGGAGGATATGAACAGTGGCAGGTTAGCCTTCTTAGACTGTGAGATTTCCATCAGTAATGGGGGACAT